TTTATTAGTACGGATGACATTAATATACCCGGAAATAACGGCATCCGAGATCAGGTACAGGCGCTCCGATGGATCAGTGAGAATATCGGCGCCTTTAACGGCAACTCCCAGAACGTGACGATCATGGGTCACGACGCCGGTGCCATATCCGTGTCCATGCATGTGCTCAATCAGGATGCCTGGCGTAAGTCCACTATTATTAATACTAAACTAATAGTAACATTATTTTTAAAACTGTAACTTTTAAAAATAATTTATAATAATATGATAATCAATTTATCAAATTTTCATTGGATTTTAAACTAGATACTTCTTATTATTTCAATTATAATATTAACTAGTATAAGATATATTAAAACTATTGAAATATTACCCAACGTATGTTAATAATTACCAATTTAACTCTAATATTATTTTTAAATAATTTGGTATAAAATAATTGCAATAAGACTGTAAGATTTTAAAAAATATTTCTCTATATAATTTAAATACTTTATATATAATTTTACTGGATGGGTTACAGGAAGCCTATTATTTCAATTTATTTCTTTTGATTAATTAAAATATACATTAAAATATAAACTTGGGTATTATACCTGCATATTTTAAAAATTAATTTAATGTTATTTTGTAAATTATTTTAAATGTATGTTATTGGATCTTATAATCTGGTAGTTTTTACAATATTCAGATTTAATTAACATACTGTAATATTATTACTTTTTTTATAACAATTATATAATTTTTATATTTTACGGTAAGGAACATGTGTCTTATATTAAATATAAAATGAACATATTAATATAGAAAAAAAACATTAATATAAAGACTGTAAACTTTAAATTCCAATATTCCTAACATTAATATAAATTTAATTTTGTATTTTCATAATGAATGTCAAAACAATGGCAACGATTTTCATTTGTTATTTTTTGAATATTTGAGATATTAAATACATAGAATAATTAATGTTAAAAATAAATTTTTACAATTAAGATATAATCATTATAATAATCTACTATTAATATAGTATTACAAAATACTTTCGAGCAATTCGTTTATTATAGTTAATAAGTATTATAGTTGTATTAAATGAATTTTCATTACTAATTATATTAAATACTGTATAATTTACATGATATATTTTGTTGCATAGCCTACTTTCAATCGGCCATATCGATCGGTGGGACGGTATTCACTCCCTGGGCGTTCAAAGACAACCCCAAAGACCAGGCCATGAACTTCGCCTCATTCTTCGGGTGCGACGTCCGGTCGGACCATATGCTGGAGTGCCTCAGAAATATCGACAGGAATGCAATGATGGGTAAATCGCGGGACAGGGACTACGACCGCAACGTTCAGCCCTATTGGTTCAGACCAGTGGTCGACCGAAACCTCACCCAATCAGCCATATTGAAGGACTGGCCGCTCC